CATGACGACAAAAACTTGCTAAAGGTTTATACAAAAAAATATATATTTTATTTTATTAAAATAATTTTATTAAACGTCAGCACAGGGTTTTATTGAACTAATTTAAATATACCTAGGTATTCCGTAATGTACACCAACAATTTTATTTAAGTTTAGTATTGGCTCAATTTATTCAAAATTTCAATGCACCCATAATATATATTAGTATAATAACTCCGTAATGGGACCGATCATCATTTGTAATTAATATCAGGGTCAATTATTTCACAAGGTGAGCATGCCATAGAGGTTGATGGTGATAACCATACCCCTACACTTTTTAACGCCGCCTGTTGAATACTATCAAGGACTACTCGTAAATTACTCACATTAGTTCGCACGAGTTGTTAACTGCTAAAACGTCGATAACTTTCAACGATAAGGCGAATCAAAACGTATTTTATATTTATCAACTTTGTATCGGTACAGCTCTTGACTTTTTCAATTGATATTTTTCTTTTCTGTATAAAAAAAAACTTTTTCTCGGTTTAGGTCTATAATATAGTTATTTACTTTCTCAAGAGTTGGGAAACATAATTAATTATGTAAATATTTTTACTTACTAACTTTTACCCACAGTTTATGTTTATGTGCTATTATTACTAAGTAGATTATAGGCTATTGAAGACTATAATCGCTCTCTGTCTCAAATTTTGCTTCTGGATCCGTTCAGTCGTTGTGGCATGGCTAGGAATAAACACCCATCCACACTTTGGCATTTATAAACGCAAAAAGATCTGTATTAGAATTCGTAAATTCGAATTGAAAATGATGTAAGGTAGGGTTCAATTCCTGGACTTGGTAAAATTTAATTGTGTTTTCCGAGAGGAAAAAATAGCCTAAGTTACTCTTTATATAGACAGCTACATGGTAGTAAAATATTATCAAAATCGCTTCAGCTGTTTTGAAGATTACCCGGAACAAACAGACAGACAGACAAAAAATATTTGAACTGATTTTTAGGCATAGGTGTCGTACAAGTAACCGTATGAGCATTTAAAAAAACGATTATTTTGACATTGCAAAGACACTTCAGTTTTATTTACTTGTACAGATTTATTTAAAAAAAACATTAAAGCCGCAGCAGTAGCATTTACAGCAAATGAAATGATCTTGTCCAAACTAGTTCACACCGGTTCTATCCGCATCAACGTAGGATCTAAGATCCTGTCTATTACAATGTCAGTCCCTTGCTCGCGTGACTTCGGCCTCGGACGTTGCATCCTGTAGACACCGGTCTAAATTTATCTTATACCTTGTGTTGAAATAGATTATTGAAATAAATACAATAAGGAAATAATCTGTAACTGTGTAAGGATGCTTTCATATTGAGATTTTAGTAAAAAGTTGCATTTGATATTAATGTAGGCGGCAAGTTGCGGCTGGAATTAGTCCGAACAATTCCTCGGAGCACTCTCCATGATATATGATATATATCTAACACTTCGAGAACGCAGAAGGATACTAGAATTCTATTTATGCTACAGACCGTTTATATTACAATATACACGTATATTGTAATGTAAAAAATACCTTTTCATAAAATTTCTCAAGCGCTAAGAAGCCTTCGTTTTAGCACGAAAGTTGTATCCTATCGACCTTTATCATAAATTAATGAATGCCTTTCGCTCATTTTTACATTTTGGGAATGCCTAAGTAGTCAAAAATCTTTACTATATTGTTAAATGTCCTATCGCGCCTGACACTGACTATCCCAACATCCTACACACCTAATAATACATTCTACTGTTTACTGTAAAGTTGTCCGAGTGGTGAAAGATTCAGAATACAAAATGTCATCACCCCTATTCATCCCGTGGGTACAACAGCACTGCAAAGAGAAGAAAAACTTGATACAAACCCTATACCAACCCGTCTGGCCAGCGTGGTATCGTAGCCCAAAACCTTATTTCTAAGGAGAGGCCTATGTGTGCCTAGTGGACTATTTTAGGCTGTTGATGACTATAAAGTAGGTATTGAAATAATATATATATTTGTCTGTACTATGTGTATTTTTATGCATACAAATCCATCGTGGGTTTGTACTTCGCAAACAATAAGAGTATTATTTTGCCTGGTTATATTTCAAGTCTACAGAAAGCGATGATTTGACAGTTTTCGCTGAAGCCATTATAGCCTAATGATTAACGGTAGTTAAATGAAAGATCGACCTTGACAAAGAGTGCTGTGTATCATCGCGTATACTAAATACCTTCCAAATAAATGGTCGAAGCTTTTCAGTTATTTATTAAATGTGTGTAAAACGCTTTATTAGTAAGTATTATTATCCTGAATTAAGTAGGTATATGATGTATGTTTTTCCAGTATAAAATTATATGCAAAATGCAAATAAACTTGTTGTACCTACATCTAGGCTCCAAAAGATAAACAAGTCATTTCGAGGTCAATGTGTGCAAGTTTATAATAAAATCCCAAATAAAAACCAATACTTTTAAGTAAGTTAACAAGTTGAAATCCACAGTGAAGCGGGGCTTGTGTCAAAAGGCCTATAACTTGATTATGGATTACATAGAAGACAATAATGCTTGGGATTAATTTAGCACAGGCTGTTTCATTGGAAATGTTATATGGGCTAGCCATAAATATCACCTTTTTTTTTAATTTCTTATGTTTTAGGTACTTCACTTTCAATTCTATTCCATCTTTTTTCTTTATCTTGTTTTCTCTTCATTACTTTTTACCTTTTAAGTCCTTAATAACTGTCATACTGGCACATATCAAAACAATTTTGTAGTATATTAAATTTATTTTTTATTTTACTCTTTAAAAAGACAACTCCCGCATTAGGAATATATCCTGTGTCGCGGAGGACTTTACAAACATACATGAAACGGACACAAAGAACACCCAGACTCGGAACAACAATGGCGACCGCTTAAACCACTACGCCATCCGTGCAGTCGACCGAATGTATCTGTAATTAAAAAGATTGGCCTTGGGTTTTGTTTGCCCTTTATTCTCATAATGCTCAACCCTTTGGGCTGTAGATCTTTTTTTTTATTTTTATTAATGGCACAAGGTTACAGTTCATATAAACACAGTTATCGTGAAGAAAATCACAGGTGGTTTATGTATCACTGCCATCATTCGTTTTGTATGTAATACAATGTCGATTAAATTTTTTATACGTTATTTTTATATATACTTTGTAATATTTTCAGCTCCTTCCTTTGTAAGGTAAACTTTTTTGAGAAGCGTTTTACATTTCCGCGGAATCTCCGAGAGTTTATCTACAATGTTGTTTTTTAGTTCGTTAATTAGTTGTGGTAAAACAAATTGCCAACGACGCTTGCTATAAATGTTGTTGTACGATGGTAGTACATACTCGTACCTCGGTAAATAATAATAATAAACTAGGCAGAGCCTGTACTATGGTAACCAGACTGCTGATAACCATACTTATATATTTCTAAATACATAAATATTATAGATAAATTACACCCAGACACAGAACAAACGATCGTGTTCATCACACAAATATTTGCTCTGGGTGGGAATCGAACCCACGCCCTCCGGTTTAGCAGTCAGGGACACTAACCACTAGACCAACAGGTCAACAGACCAATATTTAATCTTATTCTTAATTTTAATGAAGCTATGTTCTCAATTTCATCACAGATAATGTACATCTTTATCTTGTAATGTATGTTTATAGTGTGTATGTAGTATGTTTATGATTTTACAGTGTTTAAACAACTTGTTAGTATCATTCCTATGTTTATTTCTAATACCTTAAAGCACTATCGTTTTCAATATGTATTATATGTTCTAACATAACTAGTAAGACAATATTGTATGGAATCTGCCAATGCATCATATAAAATTCTCGGAGTATGATATGATAATTTAAATTTGAGCAGAGACATTTTCGATAGTATTATTCTTAATTAATTACTAAAATAGTCTAAATGCGGTCACCAGTTGAATTTGCTATCAATTATTAGGCCGAGATAAGCGTGCTGAGATACTATTTCCAGTGCTGATCCAGATCGGCACAGGCATTAAATAAATTGGCTTCGTTTTACTAAATATTTGACAAAATCGATTGTTGCTATTATGTGTGTTAATCTATGACTTTAGAGTCATAGATTAGTTGTTTTTTTTATTTTGATTTATAATTTAATGGTTATTATTTAATACATAGTATCTTCTATATACCAACGAGCAGTAACTTAGTTCTAATATTACGGTAATAGTGCTGCCAGTTTCCTTCAAATTTCTGAACTATCCGGCAAGTATTCCAACTTTGTACTCCCAAAAAACTGATCTAATATTAACATTTAAAAAAAGAGTTAATAATAATAATATAATAATATTCTACCACATTAACACAACGCCATCTAGTCCCAAACTAAGCAGAGCTTGTACTATGGCTACTAGACAACTGATATAAATACATATATACTTTTTTTTGTAAATACATACATATTATACATAGAAACACCCAGACCAAATCAAACATTAAATGTTCAAGCACACAAATGTTTGACTTGAGCGGGAATCGAACCCGCGACCTTTGGAATAGCAGTCCGTTACACAAACCACTATGCCATCCGGTCGTCGAATCGAAAGTTAGTTGAATCGGTACTGCCGTTTTCAAGTAATGCGTGTCTCAGCCAATATAATTTTAATTTTTGTGGAAGATATAAAATTTTAGTTTTTGTTTTTAAAGACAACTCCCGCTTTATATATAAATCCTGTATCGCAGGAACCTTTACCAACATTCAGAAAACGGATACAAAGAACATTTAAACTCAGAACAACAATTTATGGATCATACAATGTATTGTCCCATGTTCGGATCGAACCCACAATACTCAGGGCAGTAGTAACGGTGACCTCCTAAACCACTTCGCTATCCATGCAGTCACCCACCAGCCACCATATTATAATGATGTCTAAAAAATAACTATTTCTTTTCAGATTGAGAACCAGACACCATGGGTTCTATGTTTAGGAGTGAGGAGATGGTACTATGCCAGCTGTTTGTGCAACCGGAGGCAGCTTATGTATCCATGTATGAACTGGGAGAAGCTGGAATTGCACAATTCAGAGATGTGAGTATATTGTGAAACAAAATGATATTTTTATAACTTACTAGCGATCCGGCCGGGTCTCGCACGGGTACAATGTAGATACTACTAATACTACTAATGTGGTGTGAGTGTGGAGTAATTAATTATACTATTATTATGATAGGACTATACTACAGGATATCTTTAAATACAATATTTATACCCCCGATCCGATCCTGCCGGCCGTTGCCACCCGGGACGGACGTACGGAGCGACGGTCGCTGGGCCTCCACATTTCAAACCTCTAATATCTTCTAAAATATTCATTTTCATGATATGCTACAAAAATCAATTTTAATCTATATTTAATGTACAAAGTATCTAACGTTTTAATTGGATAAGAAATAATAACGTATATAAATTAATTGAATTATTATATTATTAATTATATATATTAATTATTATTATTTCAAATAGCTTCGTATATAACCCATTATTTTTTAATAATAGTAGTAATATTAAAAAAATAAAAATGGTTACTGTGAGTTATCCATATACATTATTTTAGTCTATTTTGTAAAGTTTAGGATAGCGTTTGTAATGCAAGCGCGTAAAGCCATATTTTTAAGATAAATCTTTGAAATTCTCGGATTTCCTCTACTATAAGATGCATGTTTAATACATATAAAACTTCCTCTTGAATCAGTCTTTCTATTGATGAAAATCGCATTAAAGTCCGTTGCTTAGTTTAGAAGATCTAAGCGGACAACATAAAACAGCGACTTAATTTTATGCTATGTAAATAATAACAATAATAATAACCACACACAGCTCACACACGTCAGTCGGATCCCAAAGTAGGTAAAGCCTGCACTATGGTAAACTGCTGTTAAACATACTTATATATTTCTAAATACATTCATCATTATTATAGATAAATTACACCAAGACACAGAACAAATGACCGTGCTCATCACACAATTATTTGTCCTGGGTGGGAATCGAACCCATGACCTTTTCTTTATGGTACGGTATGGTTCTTAATGGCAACTGAACCAACGGGCGATCAGATAGTAAGTGTCTATCGAGGCCCATGGACACATGCAACGCATGACATAAGTGTGTGTGTCCCCTCAGATTTAGGGGGTTTCCTTCGGCTACAACGATGAGTCGGTGAATAGCTACAAAAGAATTGCCTAGCACCGGTTTTCTGTGAAGCAACTGAGGTCGAGCTGACTCATATGTGCGCCAGCATGGATCTCCCATATCTAAACTGGCTTAGTAACACTTTTACAAATAATAAAAACACATTCATACTAATATTTAATCGGTCGGTCGGTCAATCGGTCTAGTGATTAGTGACCCTAACTGTTAAGCCGGAGGTCGTGGGTTCGATTCCCACCCAGGATAAATATTGTGTAATGAGCACGGTCATATTTGGTCTGTGTCTGGGTATAATTAATCTATAATACGTATGTATGTTTATCAGCAGTCTGGTTACCATAGTGCAGGCTCTGCCTAGTTCGGAATCAGACTGCCGTGTCTGAGATGTGTGAAGTTATAAAAAAAAATGCCAAAGTGCGTCTGTCTGTCTGGTTGTCTGTTACCTCTTCACCCTTAAACCGCTAAACCGATTTAGAGGAACTTTGGTATGAGATATTAATATCTCTAACATGCAGAATAACGTCCCTGAGTCAGTACTTACAAATACTTTTAGCTTACTTTCATAATAGGCTTTCAAGATAGAGCTGTCCCAGGATAAAATGATACCACAGAATTGTCGTTCAAAGTAACTATTATTTGTTATGTATGTGTTTCATAATCTTTAGACCGGTAACCTAAAATACAGAATGCATCACGGTTAATAAACAGATTCTTAAAACCTGCCAAAGTGCCACTTGGCAGCGTTACAGCACGTTATGACATACTATATTATGAAGTGACAAATGCCAGAACACTGTTTATATATTGTAGTAACTTCGATATTTGCTTATAAATTTGGTTTATCGATATTCCCAATGATATTTTAAAAAAGATGCGTTATATTCATTATTTTCAATATTTTGAGGTACAACAACCGATTTAAGGCGACCACAGACCGCCCTCGATTAAACTCACTAAACCAGTGATACACAGTTGTTTTTGATGGTGCTTCGTCCCCAAAACTCGAAGTGAGTTTATCGATGACCTGATTTTGAGTTAGTTCTCGCGAAAATCGTAATAAATCATGGCACGAAAATATCACGAGTTAAGTCACTAGTGATAAAGACGCCATTTTCAAAATGACGCCACAAAGGAAAACCAAATGTCAGCTACAAAAAACAAACTGCAGTCTTAAGCGAAAGAGTTCCATTTTTAAATGTTATTATTACTTTTTTAATATTGTTCTGTAACTGGCTGGCTAGTTCCGAATACATAAATAGCAGCCCTCGCATGGTTAAAAACATTTACAAGCAAGTTTTGAAGTTACTACAGTATCGATAGTATATTCACATCTATTAATACATTTTAGAACAAAACATACATTTACCTGTGGTATGATATTCCTTAATTTAACTTTTAATACATATACAGGAATACCCATTAAGGCATTTTATAAATTCTCACGAATACTACGCGCGTTTGCTCGTAATGGTCCTAATTAGGACCAATTCGCAGAACGCGTTTTGTGTGTTGGTGGCGTATCTACCTCTTGTTTGTATATAATATTATTGGATATCCCTAAGCTTATCAGACTGAATCGTATAGGCTAAATTCAAAATTATAGCCCTGCAAGTTGTCGTATGTAGAAACAGCTCGCTATTTTTACAATTAAATGCTATACTATCATCCTGTAGGGCAATAGTAACCATATCTGTAATATTTAAACTATTTTTGTACGATATATGGGGTTATCTTTGTTTTTTAAAGACAACTGCGCATTAGGAATATATCCTGTGTCGTGTGACTTTACAAACATACATGAAACGGACACAAAGAACACCCAGACTCAGAACAACAATTTGTGGATCACACAAAGTATCGTCCGTAGTAGGAAGCGGCGTAGCGACCGCTTAAACCACTACGCCCTCCGTGGAGTCAAATAATGTTTTATATTGGAGATTGTGCCTTTAAGTACACAAAATATGTAATTTAACTCAGCATCTGATATCGATCAATTGCTGAGGAGAATTGCTACAAATACATTTTACCAAAGACACCTAAATACTTTGTATACGAGTAAAGACTGTCTAACTCCATCTTGTGATGCATAACCTCTTACTAATTTATTAAAGCACTAACATCTATTTTGAAGACAGCGATGGCTAGAATCCTTTTTGAAAATGACAGAAGCCTTTTAATACCAATAAAAGTCATAAAATCTTGTGAAGGCATTAATAAATGGTCACGTGGTGAAAAGATGAAAAATAATAAAACCTTTTAATCATAATCGTAAAAAAATATAGTTTAATTTTTTTTTAAATATTACATAACACTAAAGACCGCTCGGTGGTCGCGGCTCGAAGCTTATTATAATTTACAACAAACATTATTAGAAAAGATAGCTTTTTATGTTTATTCTCCTTTTAAGAGATTATAAAATTTATATTCCTACAAGCGCGGAATATAGTTACAGCGATACAAAAAAAAACCTTCTTACATAGTAAGTAGTCCTTAATAAGTTCTTATAAGATTAAATTAATCGATACCTAATTAAATACTCTTATACTAATAAGGGTTCGTGTATAATTAGCTTGATTGTTACAAATAGTTAATTTATCTCCCCCATTACGGTTTTTATCAATATTTTTATTTAAGTTCGACTAATGGAATTTCCATTTAGAGCATTTGTTCCTATTTATATTACAAATAAATTACACTTATCAAGTATTTAGAATAAATATTCGTTTGTATGATCAAAGTTTCATCGCCAGAATGTGTTTCAAATAAGAAATGTCTTTCGGTTTAAACGGGGCAATGTAGCCAGTGTTTAGATAACACTACCTGAAGGCGACGAATGCGAAAGAATTTTACGACACGTGAACTTAATAGATTTTGTAAAATAATGTATTATTAAATTATTTTTTTATAATTTGCGTATTCTTGAGTGTTTTCAACTCAATTCAACATAATTATGTGATTCTAAATTCAAATACTTATCTTTCAAATCAATTGCATGGCTGATGTTCCTGATGTTATTCTTCTCGGTCGTATGCTGCATTGCTGGAGGTTATGTCCGACCTGTAGTGTTCTGGTGACTTTAGCCATGAGGACTGTCTGTTCTGAGCGCGGCAGTTAATGTCAGTTTTTAAAGAGACATTATTGTTTCAAGATGCTATTCAAATTTATTTATTTTCTTAAGTAAAAGAAGCAGGAGGTGCTTAATTCGATTATATTTTTCTCATGTTTGTTATCTCCCGTCTTTGGTTTTTGTTTCGTTTGGAAGGGTATGATTTCTTCTTAATACTCGTTTAGTTTTGAATTTACAGAAAAATACATTTTTTTTTGGTTTTGAGGGGCAAACGAGAAGACGGGTCACCTGGTAAGTGATAACCACCGCTCATGAACACCTGTGACGTCAATCAAGTGCTTTGCCGGTTCTGTCCCTCTTCCTTGAATTAGGGGGAAAGGAAGGGTTTAAACTCCAGTAACCTCACTCACTTGGTGAAAATCAATGAAAGAATTGCTAAACACCAATTTTGTGAGGCCATAGTATTACCCCGGTTTTGCCTGGCCTGTATGTGCCGGAGCATATGGCTCTCTCACGATACTTATGGCCTTTAGGGCTAAAGGCGGCAAATTAAGGAATACTAATACTAATATTCTACCACATTCACACAACGCCATCTAGTACCAAACTAAGCAGAGCTTGTACTATATTGAATACAGTTTATTACAATTCTTCGGTGCATTGTAGTCGGTTACATTTAGTTTAAAGTTAGCTGCTCAATAATTATCATGACTATTCCCAGTTGTTACCACTTCTGAGTCTATCATTTTACCATTTCCTGTGCCTCATCTAAGCCAAAAATACTGTCACTAACACATACTACCTGAAAATA